GGTGATTCAACTAGAAGGTTATGAGTTTGGTTAAGAGAAAGGGGAATTTTTTGTCCAATGTGTATATAAATTAGACAATGATGGATATATTTTAGGGAGAGTAGACCTAAAGCTGCTTAGAAAAAAGTGAGTTAGTGGGTCATGTTTGTAATTAGTGTACACTGACAGGGCGGCCGGGGCGTGCATGGCAGCTAGGCTACTTGTGCTGGAACTAATATGTGTATCTATAAAGCAACATTCACACAAACTAATGTGTATCTATGACTTGTAATCATATCTACTTTGACACAGAACAGGATATGGCGCGACATATAGATGCAAACATACATAAATATACAAAAATATTTGCCAACAGACAACCATTTCTGTTTGTATACTTGGTGCATTCTGATCGCATTTAATGAGAAGTGTAAAAAATTAACTACAGTCAACATTATGTTTTGTTTGTTCTCCCTTCAGTATAATCATTTTGCATCTAGTGGTAGGTTCACCTTCCTTTCATTAAAACAATTTTTTTCTCGCTACCGCTAGAGATGAGAGGGGAGAATGAGATGTACTTCTAAAATATTTTTAAAATAAACAATTTTTTTAAATCATAAAATATTTTCCTAGCGAATAATTTCACCCCCAAAAAAAAAGTCTTCATTATTTTTTCCTAAGTTTTGGCCTAAAAAACAATAAAATAAGCATGGCTTTAACTATTTTGTGCATTTAAAGTTGCATGATATTCTGTCAATTTTGTTTCCAAACAAGTGTACTACAGACATTTTGCAAGGTCAAACTGGTCAGCACGTACTGGAATGGAATGAAAATTGTGTCCCATATTTTCCTAACATGTGGGGTCTTAAGAGCCCCAGTACAAACGTCAGGGGGTATAACTAAAATTTGAATAACATCCATCGGCATAAAAATAAAAATAAAAAGGTGCTCATTTGAGAACACTTGGAAATTGAAAACAAAGTAAATAAACACCATGGCTGACCTTGTTTTTGGAATTTTTATCCATCTTTGTAACTTGCGCTTTTCCTATATTGAATATTCCTCGGGCACCCTTGGCACCAGGACCACCAACGCCTAATCCACCCTGCATTCTTCGCCCCATGAATAAGAGGGCCCCTAAAAGCAAGGCTGTTGGAGCAAACCTCATCAGTTCTTGGAACCAATTCATTTCAGATACATATGTCACAGGAACATATTTATGAGGATCTATTCCTAATGCTTCTTGGGCTTCCTCCAACTTCTCCTCAAAAGAGTCAACACTTCCAATATTAAAATAGTATATGTAGTGGCTGGCATTTCGTCTAGCATGGGCACCATCAGCAGGACCTTGGACAATCTCATCATTGGTTTGATTCGTAACAGATGGGGAGCTCTTCACATACACTTTTGCAACTGACTTATTTGCAACAACAATGTGATCCACCAGACCAGGTTCAAGTAGCTTGTTTTTGAACTCTTGGAAACTAATCTGAATGATATAAACTAATCAGTTCATCCAAGGGAATAATATTTATATATATATATATATATATAGAGAGAGAGAGAGAGAGAGAGAGAGACAGACAGAGAGAGAGAGAGTGAACAAACCATTAAATAATAATAACGGGTGTTCATATGTTCTTCATTCTAAAAATGTAAGTGCAACTAGCATAAATATTCAACACATGCACAAATGTCAAAATAAATAATCACAAATATGAAGACCTTAAGCTAAGCAAGCTTCTGAGGTACACAACTGAAAAGCAGAAAAAGACTAGTCCATTTTAGAGAAGCCATGCCTATGATGGTGGCAATGGCAACAGTCCCGGTGTGACAAAGTATATTTCAATAAATCTCGCAAAAGCTTACAATCACAAAATATGGATAAAAATGAGGTGGTGATAATAGTAGCTTTGAAAAATTCCGAAGTGTAAAATAAAGCTATGTGAGCGTCTCCCATAGATAATGAATACGAACAATTAAAAGTTTGAAACCAACATAAAGAACACAGACCAGAACTAGAAGTTAAATTTTTTTAATTCAGTTCATACATTTTAAGATCAAATTCTTATTTAGATGCTATTTAAGCACTAATTTTGTCCATACAGTTCCAAAATAGCAACCTGTAACTAACCATCGCAAAATATCATACACTAAAACAACTCTTTCTAACAAAAATATTCCTACAGAAATTATCATTAATAATGTCCAAATCTTGCTGAGTTGCATAGATTTAACAACTTATTTTTTCCTCATTATTTCTAAACTTTTTATTTTTATTTTTATATTATTTATTTATGTAAGTTCATCTCCTCTCTTTTTTCCCATTGATTAGCTTTAAAAGATTGTGTTCACTATATGGCCAACCACTCTTGTTGAAGAGAAATCAAATTGCCATTAAAACAAAAACATATTGCTTAAGACAAATGTGTAATTCATTGAATATGATGGCACATTAAGAAGCATGGACACGGATACGGACACGGACAAGGGACACGGCCATTTCAAAAAAATGGGAGCACAGACACACTATAAAATATATTTTTTCCTCATTATTTCTAAACTTTTTATTTTTATTTTTATATTATTTATTTATGTAAGTTCATCTCCTCTCTTTTTTCCCATTGATTAGCTTTAAAAGATTGTGTTCACTATATGGCCAACCACTCTTGTTGAAGAGAAATCAAATTGCCATTAAAACAAAAACATATTGCTTAAGACAAATGTGTAATTCATTGAATATGATGGCACATTAAGAAGCATGGACACGGATACAGATACGGATACGGATACAGACACGGACAAGGGACACGGCCATTTCAAAAAAATGGGAGCACAGACACACTATAAAATATGTTTTCAAATATTTTTATTTGCTATCTACATTAATATTACATCCACAAACAATCAATATTAACAAAAACTAACTCTAATTCTATATATATATATATATATATTTTAAAAAAACACTTTTAAATTAACACTTACAATTTATATCTTTTTTATAGATGATCTATTAAGTATTTAAATTTAAGAAAAAAATAATAAATATTAAACATTTTACATTCATCAAAACCACTAAATCAAATGAGGAAAAAGGCAACTTGGCATATCCCTAGTGTGTCCCCTGAAAATAAATTAATTAAATAAGGGGACACGCCATGTTGTGTGTTCCATAAGTGCCCCCGAAGTGTCCGTGTGTCCGACATGGATACGGCACTTGTTTTGAAGTATCGGTGCTTCATGGATGACACATTAGATGCTCCATAGATGACACATTAGATGCTTCATAGTTGCTCCATCTAACAGGCATTCCATGTAAACAAAACAGTCGGGCATTTCAAGGGGTTGCTAAATTTAATGCCTACCAAAGTATGTAATCCATCAAAGTTGCATATACTCTTTTTATAACATTTCATCCCTGCTTTCTCTTCAACTTACTTTAAGTAAATCAGAAAATTCAAGCTTTTGAATGTTAAAATATTCTTTCCCATTGTATTTAACACAGAAGGAACCCTCTTGCATCCAACTAATCACCATAATGATATCTACCTAATTGTACCACGTTTAGGCGTAAGCAACCTGCAAACACATAATTTAATTTTTTCCATGCACACATGCAGTTGGATTAAATATGGACAGAAGTACAGCATATTTTTCATCAATCTTCATCGGTGAATTTTTCCATCAATGCTGTTATGTTGTTATCCACTATTCACAGAATTCAATTAGAATCAAGTACTAAGATAAGCCAAGGTTTTTGAAACTTACAAGGGACTAAGCCTTGAGGTTCATCTAACTAGGTGTAAGAAATAATGTATAGAGAAAGAGAGAGAATAAATTGTATGTATTATTATTGATTGATATATTGATATCTATTACAATGATTCATGATTCCTATATATAGAAGAGGGTGAGTGTGTAGTAGGTAAGGAGTAGGTGAAGTGGAGATGGTAGTGGTGTAGTGGGTTAGGTTTAGTGGAGTAGGTGAGGTGGTAGTGGTGTAGTGGGTTAGGTTTAGTGGAGTAGGTTTAAGTGGGTGAAGTAGGTGGAGAGTAGGTGGATTTTAACACTAGGACAACACATCGGATTGCAGATTGAGACTGTGTTTACAAAAGCACTTTCACATTGCACTGACAAGGTACTACAAACATATATATCTATGTTATAAAGTGATATGTTACTACAATAAACGAAGTTATTCTGAACTGCTACGAAAACAAGTGCATTATCATGTTGACAGCGTCACAATTATTGACCAAATGACCATCAGCAGATTGATTTTGTCAGACACAGCAAGACATCCAAATTCAAAAGCAGAACTCATATATGCTTGCAATCTAACAAAAACACTAAAAGAAATGTAGAAATTTCAGTAAAAGAAACACTGACCTGCTTCTGCTCATGAGGACTCAAAAAAATTGATGAGAGAACAAAACCAATAAACAACAAAGGTGTGACTAAATTCTGATACTGCTTCATGAAGTTTTCCTGAAAGCTCCCATGATCATTCGAGCTCATTTCTTCTGGAGAACATCATGAATATGAATTAAAGGAATGAAGAGTGAATAAGACATAGGAAATAGCAGGTCTTGTTCACAGTGTGAAATTCTTGTCAATCACAGCTCAAGCTGACAATTTATAAATCTTCACATCTTTGTTACGCTACCTCTACAATTCACATGGCACATTTTTTTTCCTGTCATATTTAACATGTTGTACCAAATTGAGCATCTACGGTACCCTTAACAAACTTTATATTCTCCAGCACACAAAACCATACATCTACACATACACATAAGCAGAGGGGGGGTTTGGTAAAGAATCCCTTGCATTTTAATTCAACTCTTGAACAAAAACATCCATGCTATCAATCGCACAAAATGCAGAAGAAAACATAGTATACTAGCTTCCAAATCTCCATCTACAACACCACCAAACATTAGTTTCAAAAACTACTACTGCCAGTGCCACCAAATGATATAAATTTTCAGTAAGTTCTCTATGGCATATCTTTTCTTGACAATGGAAACCCTCCGCATCACATCAAGATAATCACAAAACAATTTTTTTTTAATTTAATTTCATGGAGGCTCCAACTTCAAAATGTGACATGGCCACAACAGTCCACAAAAAAACCTCATATGCAAATCATGCTAACTTTTAACACATCAATGTAATTCCATTTCTGAAAGGAGTTAACTTACCGTTGCATTCAAATAATCAAAATTCATACCTTTAGATTCCGACTTCTGATTGTTCCCTTTCGGGATTTCTTTCTTGTTTTTCGGGTAATAATTCTCATAATCTATAACAACACACCACAAAAACAAAACATTGCAAGAATCAAATAAAAATTCCCAACTTTATTAACTAAATTAAAAAAAAAAAAAAAAACCCTTCTTACTTCGTTTCTTTGGCGCTTCACTACAAAAAAATCGCCGAAGCGGAGGGTTCGCAAAAATGGAACTAAACTCCGATAAATAAGCGTTAGAAACAAGCTGTCTTCCAGACCCAGCTCCTATGGAAGTCAAATAACCCCTCACAAACCCTAATCCCCCATCAGTGCATGCATTTCGAGAGACTAATTCTCTCGAAATCACACCATATTTACCAGAATTAATTTTCTGTCAAAAACAAAAATAAACAAATTAACAAGAAACGAAATACATACACATTCAAACATAGCGGAAGATGAAAGAGAGGTTACCGTATGGAGTGAACAGCGAGACGAGCGAGAGAGAGAGCGTCCGAGACGTGAAAAGATCATTGTGGTGATGAATTGAACATGTAATTGGTCGGAGATTACCAAACCCTAGATCGAACCTTTAAGGAGGCGTTTGGGAAGATTTCAGTTTCAGATTATATACCAGGCTTCGCTTAATATCTCCGATTTTGGGGAATATTTCCGATTTTAAGGCCCCGATATGGTCCGAAACGTGTTGCAGAGAGGGAGACAGAGGTAGAGCATGGAAAAGGGAAACACCTTTTTTTTTCTTTTATTTTTTTGAAGTGGATTAAAATGCATTTCTTTCTTTCTTTTTTTTTTTAATTTATTTTGGAGGATGATATCATTTTTATATATTTTTTATATTTTTTAAAAAAATTAAAAAATTAATTTTTAATTATCTTTCTAAAATATTTCAATATTTATTAGGACATCTCCATTAATTTTTTTTTATTAAATTTGAGTAAAAATTTCTTGTAATATTAAGTACTTTAACGGAGAGTTTTGCAACTTCATAAAACCATCAGTCAATCAGGTGGACGACCGTTTATAACTTTATCAAATCACTGGTCGACCGGATGAACGACAGGACAGACGATCGGCCAGTGTAATTTTTTTACAAAATTTTATTTTGATGAAATAAAAGTAAAATCTTAAATTTAATAATAAATTTGATAAACTATTAAAGGAGTAAAAAGTATCATCCTTTTATTAAATTTAAATTTGATAATAAATTTGATGTATCATTGAAAATGATCTTATGATTTTTAAAACACGATTTGATAGAGGTTAGTATGTGTTTATCGCCATCTGTGCGTGGGACTATGGTGTGGTCTTTCAGAGTCTCTGCGGTTGGAAGATAGGCCACAACGATGAATTGAAACCCACATGCGAGACTAAATGGGCTGCTGTATTGGGCTTCTTTTTGTGTCGTTATGAGTTCAAATGTTTTTGTCCATGGGCTTGATTGTGGGCCTTCACCAAATTTTCCATGTGAACTTTTCTGAAATAAAATTACCATTTGAACTCGAAGACAGCAGACATTGAGCTTAATTCAGTGGTCTTGAGTTCGAGTTATTAGAGTACCGACGATTTTTTAAGTTGTAATTTAATTTTATTAATAAAAAAACATCCTACAATTTTGATAAAAAAAAAAAAAAAGGTGGCGCTAATGCCACGTGGAAAGTATGGAGTCATACACATATATTGTGCAATAACTTGAAATGACACTCTTATCTTCATATGACATCAGTTATAACTTAACTACTCATTCTTCACACAATTTTCTTAAAATGCTTTGTGTGACTTTTTATTTGCCCAACTACACAAAATTTCTATCAATCATTCACTTTTCCTTTCATCTCATTTTGACATAACAACATAACCATTTAAAATAAAAACAAATCAAATCTCATCCAATTTTTTTGAAATGTCCAACCTTAGTAAAAAATCATAATATGAAAAATTTATATGGTAATAATATACAAACAAAAACTTTATATATATATATATATATATTTTATACAAAATGAAATGATTTGTTGTTGTAGTTTTCTTTTTGATTAAAACACTCATCATTGTTCTCATCTCTATGAACTTTTTTATTTGTAAATCACTTTCTAAATATACACGGACAAAGAAAATTTTAAAATTAAAAAAAAAAAATCAATGTTAGGGGATTAACAATACTAGCAAGGAAATTTGTACACCAAAAAAGTATTTTAATAAGTGTTTTGCACATAAATTGTATAATATGTATATTTAAACTTAATGTGATGTGAGTTACACTCAAAATAAATTTGGTGCACATATTTTATTTTTAGAATATTTTTTTAAGTAAATAGTTTTATTATGCTAGTAGAAGATAATGATGAGAATTATAAAATGGTACATTTTAGTTACACATCATATCACTTAGTAAATTAATTCTCTTTTAACATGGTACCTGAAAAACTCTTATAGGAAAATCACCATTAAACAAAAAACAATACCTCAACACTTATTCTCAACGAATCATACCAAAAAGACAAACTGACTTTTATAACATGTTTAATTCACTTCCATCCAAACTAGATTGACATCCTTATAAACAATCAAAAGCACATCTTAAAAAAGAAATTGCAAAGCTAAAAGATGTTGTTCTCAAATGGTCCGCAAATGTTGATAATTTCTAGTCTCAGGAAAAAAAACAAAATAAAACAAAAAATTAAAAGAGAAAAAACCCTAATAATATCTTCAAAAGATATCCAACATACATCCTTATAAAACATATATATGCTTGTCCAGTTGTCCTATTTGCATAATAAGATACCTACCATCATCATCTACACAAACAAGAATTATATGTATAGAGAAGAGATTTTAGTGAAATACTCAAACAATTAAATAATTTCTCATGAAAATGTAATATTTACAATGAATTTAGATAATAATTTTAAATTGAGTCAATTAAGAGTAAGAAACAAACTTGCTTTTAAGTCATCAACCCAACCAAAAGCAATCGATTGTAGCAGACATTGTGTTTAGGTTGACTACATCCATGTTGCTTTGATCATCATTTAGGTTAACCACGTGATTTGGATTAACCTCTCTTCCCTCCGTTTTGGCTTGACATGTTCGACTATTATGACCTACATCTTTACAAGTGCTACACTTCCTTGTTGCTTCCATAAACTCAAATTTTGAAGCATTCCGTCTTGTGGAACTAGATTCTTTCCCTTTTTGGTCCCCGATGGACATCTTCTATGAGGTTGAACATTTGGTGCAAGAAGCAATGGAAGTGATGGATTTACAAGTTAAGAAATTCTCTCATGAGCATCTTCCTTCTGGATTTTAGGCCACTCTTGATATTTATTTTCTAACTCATGAATTAGCCTTTGGAATTCACCCCCATCATTTTTTTCACCAGTAGACAAAGTCAAGGATCTTATATCAATCCTCCATTTGTGAATGTACTGCATCAAGAGGTAATGCCTTACCTTTCCAATTCATCATCTTATGTGCACAAGGAAGACCCATGCTTACCATGAAGTGTCCTTTGCATGTTGGTTGCATTGTACCTGAAAGAGAGGTTCGCGACCTAATATGGGGCCAAGCTAGTTTGGGTCGGAGTCAAGAGCCCTTGCTCAGTCAGATATTGAGCGCACACAGGACCGAGGATTTAGTCCGGTTGATTTGGAATAACTTTGGATTATCGGTTCGGACGGGATGCGCGCTCTACAGGGTTGGACGGGATTAGTCCTCAAAACACTAGGATGAACCGAGAGAGCTCGGTCGTGACTAAGAAGCTCGGTCGAGCCACAGTGTGGAACCATCGATGAAACTGGACAAGTAGCACAACCGTGAGGTGACGACGTGGCGCCATGCTAAATGTAACTCGGTGGGAAGTATTACGCGGTGCCTCGAGTCTGCACGGGGGAGATCCTGCTGTCCGTACTCGCCAATTGTTTGACGATTTCATTTGGTGGTGTTTAGCTGTATTAGCTCTGACACGTGGGGAAATGTGAGAGGAGAGCAGGTCCATGCGTCCCAAGAGGAATGGACGCAAAAGCACGCGCATAAACTATATAAACGAAGCTGCGCTTCCATACTCAGGTCTAGAACATCCACTGGTGAGAGCTCAACTACCGCATTGTCTCCTCTTTTTTCTCTCTCTCTAGAAGTGTGCTGACTTGATCGTCGGAGGGGTTTTCCAGCAGCACACCGGTGGATAGCTCACCTTCATTGTGTTCTCAGGTCGATTGGAGTGAAGTGCAGTTTGGTCACGAGGAGTACGGATAACATTGGATATTTGGCTTCCTTACAATTGGCGTCGTTTGTGGGAAACTCTCCGACAGACAAAACCTTGTCCTCCAAGCTCTTCTAATCATCTTCCATGGCGAACAATGACGACGTCCCACTGTCCACCATCGACGGCATCACTCTGGAGTCCGTCCGGAGAAGAGATGGTCTTCCCGTCATTACTGCAATGGGTGGTTTGGAAACCTTTCCTAGAGGGCTCTCTAGAGATCCGCGAGACAAGCACGCAAGGAGTGCTAACCGCTCACAGAGTCTCGACGGGCACCGACAGCGAAGAGAATCGCATGCTCAGCGCCTGGAGCATAAGCTGAGAGACCAAGACGCCATCATTCGAAAGATGGCGGCAGAGATGGAAGCGCTGAAGTGGCAGGTTAGAGGGAAGGGTGTTGCTGGAGTGGGTAACCATAGTGAGCGCACCTAACCCTGTCACTTAGGCATCTAGAATCAGCTGAGGACACCCTCTCTCTCTATCACCAGAAGTTGTGGGGTTGGTGGCTCAGACGTGCCAGCAGAGAAGTCTTGAGTGCAAGACGGCAGTTATTATCCCTCACGTTTGTCGACGACGTCGCGATACTCTTACTCCGCCTGTTTGGAGGACCTGAGGGACGTCTTGGAAGAACGAGCACGTCGACGAGAGGCCCAGAGGGTGCTGACACTACAGCGGTTATCCTATGGAGGTCGCGCGAGTGAGGAGGTCGTAATGCCGCCACCACGTCCAGTTGCACATGCCCCTTTAGACAAAGACTTGACGAGGCTGAGCACCACTCCCTTCTCCCTTGAGATAGAGACCACAGCGCTCCCTGCGGGCTTCCACCAGCCCAAGTTTACACTTTACGATGGAAAAACTGATCCATACATACACGTAAGCCCTTCCGGCAGGTTATGGTTGGGTATTGGCAAAACGACACTCTTATGTGACTCATCTTCCTGTCAAGTTTGGGTGAGTTGGGCCTAAAATGATTTGATAGGTTGCTAGAGGAAAGTATCGAAAGATGGTAGCAGTTGGCGGAGGCATTCGTGACCCGATTCAAAACCAACACAAAAATGCTAAAGGAAGTCGACCACCTTCTGAGCATCAAAATGGAACTGGGCGACTTCCTGGAAGCATACAACGCCAAATATTGGGAAACATTTAACAAAATTCTTGATTGTCGGACCAACCTGGCAATCATCCAATACAAGTGCAGTCTCTCAGTCGGACATAGACTGAGGGACTCGCTCACCATGAACTAACAGGCAACCATGGAGCTACTGATGCAATGCATCAACAAGCACATCCGAGTAGAGGCCACTGCGAAGGCGAATCAGGTGGCAACGGACAAAAGAGTGGCTGGAAAGGTTCACGCGGTCGGACAGGAGGCAAACTGTCTGAGTGACCGCGCAAGAGAGTCAAATCGCGGTGTAGACCGCAGCAACTGGGGTAAAGATCGCCATTCTGACTAAGCTGCTTACCCTCGTGACGCTGCCGCCGACATGAAGAGAA